CTAGATCTGCCCTAGTTGATCAGCGAGGGTACCTCGTGGGGATAATGCGGCAACTCTTGTGCGAGGGTTAACAGTTGTCGGGGTGCATCAGACTTCACACGAGTGCGATGTTGATGCAGACACGATGAATCAATCGGTCGCTGGGATCGGATGCAAATGAATAAGGAAAACGGGAAAGTGAGGCTGTTGTGTGACGGGTAACTTTGCATCGCTGGCAGTGCAAGCAATGCCTCGACCAATCTCTGCAGTCACGACGTATTCCAGGCCATACAAATCGTTCGGTCACAAGTCGGACTGAGCAGCACCACCTGGATGGCTAAGACCATGCAGTGAGTCGAAAACTTGTTTCCGAAAATCAGGTGTGACGTAGGGTCTTGGCGGTTGCACTGACATGTCACAGTACAATTTCGCGTGTGATCCAGCTGGAGCTATCTTCAGTAGCTTTAGTGACGATCCCTTGCTGAGTAGGTTTTGTAGTTCGGGATCTGATTCCTGTGAGAGGGCTAACTGATGAAAGTCGATGGCTGTACCCCCTCTATACGTGACAACGTGTCTGCCACAATATTCTGCGTACCAGGTATATACCTTATATCAGTGGTAAATTGTGCGATAAAATCAAAATACCTGTACTGTCTTGGAAAACAAAAGCGTAAACGAGTGGTCGGTGATCGGTGTATATACTAAAGTTTCTAGCTTCCACCATATGCCTAAAATATTTAATTGCTTCATGTATTGCTAGTAACTCCCTGTCATATGGACTATACTTCCTCTGACTCGGACTTAATTTTTTGTAGAAGAACCCGAGTGGTTCCCATTAATCTCGTACACGCTGTTGCAAAGTCGCTCCAATAGATACGTCAGATGCATCAGTAACTATAGACAACTCAGCTTGCATATTGGGATGTACCAGAAGTGTAGCCTTGGATAATGCTCTTTTGCATTCTTCGAAGGCTTCCAGCTGTAGTGGGGTCATGTGGACAGGCTGTGACCCTTTTACCTTTTCTCCTGCCAACATACTGTGTAGAGGTGCTTCAATAGTCGCTGCATCTGGAATGAACCTTCTATAGAAGTTCAACATACCGAGAAACCTTCGGAGCTCCTTCAATGTTCGTGGTACAGGAAATTCCTGGATAACCTGGACTTTCTCTTGAAGAGGACGTGTACCTTCAGCAGAAACATGATATCCGAGAAAAGTGACTTCATTTCTACCCCAAAAACATTTGGCTGGGTTGATTAGGATGCCATATTCCTTTAGTCTGGCAAGTACCTGTCGCACATGGGTCATGTGAAGATCACGTGACTCGAAAAAAATTAACAAATCGTCCATGAACCCATAGCAGAAGTCATTTAAGCCTGTGAGCACTTCATCAATAAACCGTTGAAAAGTTTGGGCTGCGTTTCTTAGACCAAATGTCATGTATGGGAACTCAAACATGCCAAAGGGTGTGGTGATCGCTGTCTTGGGTATGTCAGAGGGATTTACGGGAATCTGATTATAAGCTTTAATAAGATCAATCTTTGAAAATATAATACATCCAGAAAGCTGCTGACTAAAATCCTGAATGTGGCGCACAGGGTATTGATCGGGCACAGTACGAGCATTTAGTGCACGGTGGTCGCCACAGGGTCTCCAGCCATTATCCTTCTTTCTGACCAAGTGCAACGGTGAGGACCATGGGCTTGACGAACACCTTGCCGTGCCACATGCTAGCGTGTCGTCAAATTCTTTCTTGGCGTGTCGTAACTGTACGAGCAGTTACGAGGTCTGCTCGTAACTGGTGGTCCAGACGTAGTTTTAATAAAGTGCATAGTGTTATGCTTAGGTGTACTTACAGTACCCGCAGGTCGTGTAACTTCTGGGAACTCACGTAGAAGCTAGTGAAATATTGAATCACCGGAATTTGTCTTGACCGATGCCACGCTATCCGGAACTTTCTGATGTGATGCTGGCACAGCTAGTGAAGTAGTCCCATCTATAATTCTGTGATTACGGCAGTCAATTAGCAGGTAATAAAAATTTAAAAAATCAATACCAATAATAGGCTTTGCAATGTCTGCAATGGTAAATTTCCAAGACAAAGCACGGCGCAGTCCCAAATCTAATGTTATATGTATCTGTCAATAGGTATGTATTACTGAACCATTTGCGGCAGTTAAGCTATACTTGGCTTGCGTGCAGGGTGTTTTCATAGCTGATCTAGGATACACACACAGGTCCGACCCTGTATCAACCAAAAATTGCATTTTAGAATGTCGGTTAGATATGAAAAGTCGGCCTGAATTAGTTGGACAGTCGTAGGCCGCTACTTTCGGCTGTCCATGGAGTTTTCCGACTGCCATTGACATGGTTTCCGGCATTTTTTGCTCGACCAGAGAAATTAAAATGATACCAACAATGAGGATGGTTTTCAGGGTGCTGACGTAATCGTGACCGCGACCTAGACCTATCCCTTTTCTGCCTACTCCGTGACCGTTGGCGTGCATGATGATAACCACGGTTCATGTTTGTAGTGAGCAATGCTACCTGCTTTGTTAATTCACTAATCTGGTTGGCCATAGTCTCAATAACTGTTGTGGGCATACATTGAGCTGAAGTAGGCGCGGAGTGGGCTGTACTTGCTACCTGGTATGGTACAGAGGGTGCAAGTTCGTGTATTTTATCCGCCAGGTCAGCTAATTTATCGAGTGGAAGATCTGACTGGGAAGCTACAATAGTCTGTATATTACTCGGCAATCGACTCGACCACAACGTTTTTACGAAATCGTCCGGCACTGACGATCCTGCCAGGTTACTCAAATGTCTCAAAAACTGAGACGGTTTGCTGCCCCCTAACTCTTGAGGGAGGGAGGGTTGGTTATAATATCTTTTACCTCCGATATGTGTCTGTACTCCAAAACGGCGATGACGGAATAAAACTTTGTGAAGTCCTTTTTGATATTCGCCAACACGAATTGGCCTTCCACCTGCGCGAACCATAGCTCTGGTTCGGGATCTGGAGATCGGATGACGCGGACCAAAACCAGCAGGGGGAGTTGCGGGCTCTCCACGCCCTTCACTCGCTGAAGGGTGTTCCTCCTGGAGACGCTCTGGCTCCCTCTCTCTTCCCCTTTCTTCCCCCTTTTTGTTTTTCGGGTCACGTCCGACCCGTTTCGGACGTAGCCCATGGGAGATGGTGGGCCACTTTTGGTCTGCCTTTCGATGGAGAAGTTAGCCGGCGTTGTTTACGCATCTTCCGGCCGCTGGTCGCCATGTCCCCGGCTTCGGCTACAAGGGCACGCCCTCCAGAGGGGGGTACCGATATACCGGCGTGGCTTCGTCGTTGTGCTCTTTTGAGCGTCGGGCGGTGGTCTGCCGTGTTACTCGTTGCACTCGGCGGGCCGCCGGCTAACCCGTAATCCTCACCGCGTGGGGGACGGGGGCCGCTGCCGCGAGGCACGGCGCCTCGAAGACGTAAACCTCTTTAAAAAATGCCCCAATCCTAAGATCTGGTGCCCGGCGATGGGATGAATGGCTGGAGAGAGTCCAGTCCCGAGGGTACCACCAGACCCCAGGGGTCGGGTTAATAAAAAAGGAAACATGACATAATGGCACTTGTTCAAGATTTATTACCCCATTAGGGTACCTCCCGCTCCGCGGGGGGAGAATCCCTCCGTGCGGTCGAGCGATCGGCTGCACGCTGCCCCACCGTTTCGGGGGGGGGGGGGGGCAAACAATGCCAAGACGTAGTGGGCGACAACACGGGTCGCGTAAAGGACAGAGTTCCAACCGTGGTCATTGAGCGCTGCAAGAGCTTAATCTCGCACTCGGCCGGCGTCCTCCGCTCCGTCCGACTCCTCCGAAGGAGAGCCTGCCAGCGCCAAATACATGGCGTTGGCGGAAGGGCCGGCGGCTGCTGCGGCGCTGCCCGCCACTAACTTGGACAAGCTGTCGTCTTGCGGACTGGACGCTGCCTCTTTGGCGCAGACTAGGGCCGCCTGCCGTGGGGCAAAAAATAAAGATAAGAAACCAGGAGAGATCGAGCGCCTACAGCGATCCCTAACGCTGGTGGGTCCCTCTGACCCCCTCCGATCGTGTTAAATAATCGGCAAAATAGTTGCGACCATTGCGGCCAAGTCGACTGTAGGCCTCAAGGGCTCCGAAGTGTCAGCCATGAAATCGGCGGCCGCCACATTACAGGAAAGGCTGCAGGACGTCGTGGACCGCACCACAACCGCGGAGACGGCGGACTTGCGGCAGGAAGTAGACCTGCTGCACGCCCGCCTCGAACAAGTATCGGCCGAGAATAGCCAACTTCGGGCGCAGAACGGTCAACTCCGTGTCGACATAGCCGAGTTGCGAACGTTGGTTGCCGACCTCACAGAGCGGCAACGCAGCTCAGCCCCTGTCCCTCCCTCCTCCGCTCGAAGCGGAAGGCCTCACTGAGGTCGAGGAGTTGAGGCGGCAGCTCCTTATACAGGAGGCGCGCAGCTCCAAGGTGGTGCGTGCGAGGCCGCCCCTCGCCCACGAGGCGAAAGGCAGTGCGCCTGTGTTGGCACCCCGCAAGACTGTGGCGGCTAAAACATATAGTAGCCTAAATATACTTCAAAAAACGCGCGGGTTCCCGCCGTGACCGCGACTGCTTGACGTCTGCGGCTGCGGGTGCCACAAAACCAACCCCTGCAAAGAAACTGGCGTCCGCTCCGACCCCGCCCCAGCCTGCAAAGGCGGGGCCCGGCAGGAGCCGAAATAAGAAGAAGGGGGGCGTCAACGCCACCAAACCGGCCTTTTTTCGTGTAGAGGGCCGAACCTCCTACGCGGTCCCCGCGCAAAAGGGGCGCGCGGGGTATGTGAGACTCAACCCCAGCCCCGCCCACTACCCCGGCCAACATGAACGAGGCCTGGACGACGGTGGTGCGACGCGGGCCTAAGAAGGTGGCGGCGCCTCCTGCGCCGCGCACCAAGCCCGCCCCTGCGGCCACCGCTCCCCGCCAAGAGGGTCGAGCGGAGCCGAGGGGCCGAAATGGACGAAGGAGGGTCGGCTGCAGTGGTAGTGGAGCTGCTGCTGGCCGGCAAGGAAAAGGGCATCACCTACCACGAGGTGATGACCCAGGCGCGCGGCGGTGTAAATGTGGACGCCCTCGGCGTGGAGGGGGGCATCAAGGTCCGGCAGACGGCCAACGGGGCCCGTCTTATAGAGTGCCCCGGCCCGAACACAAACGCCGCGGCCGAAAAATTGGCGGCCCGGCTGAGGGAGATCCTGCCGGACCCCGAGGTGGTGCGTATCGCGCGGCCCGTAAAAATGGCGGACGTGAAGATTACGGGTCTCGACAAGTGCGCCACGAAGGAGGAGGTCACCGCGGCCATCGCGTCGCAGGGCAACTGCGCCCTCGCCGACGTCAAAGTCGGGGAGCTCCGGGCGACATACTCCGGAACCCGGACGGCGTGGGCGCGTTGCCCCATCGCAACGGCGAACCTCCTGGCCACCCCTCTACAGGGTCGACCTTCAGATAGCCCAGGATGGCTTCGCGTGGGCTGGGTAGTGGCCCACGTGCAACTGCAGGAGAGCAGGCCGTGGCGCTGTCGTCGGTGCTTCGGCACCGGCCACGGCCTCGCCAAGTGCCCCTCGACCGTGGACCGCAGCGACCTGTGTTTCCGCTGCGGCCAACCGGGGCACAAGGCAGCCTCCTGCACCACAGCCGCGCTGCACTGTGTCTTGTGCGACGCGGCTAAAAGGAAGGCTGACCACCTTTTTTTTTTTTTTCGTGTAGAGGGCCGAACCTCCTACGAGGTCCCCGCGCAAAAGGGGCGCGCGGGGTATGTGAGACTCAACGATCTGCATGGTGTTGTGAGCAGACCGCGGGCCCAAGGACTTTAGGGCCCACCCCCTAAGGCCCATAATATCAATCGTAGTTGAAACTAAAATCGAAGGTTTAAACTGTCACTGAAGATCAACTCGTAATTTCAATCAAAGTTAAACTGCCCTTCAGAGTTTAAACTATCGCAAAGTTTAAAAAACCATGGGGGAGCGTTTAAACCATAAGTTGGTTTTAAACTGTTCTTTTTAAAATGGCTGCTCTGTTAAAGTAAATGTAATTTATAATAAATGTCAGTAAATAGAGATAATTATTAGGTAAAATTAAGTAAAAAATTTATTGTTTACAAAAGTAGGCATCTATAGTGTTATAAAATGGCTGAGTGGAATGAAGACACTGATTCTGATATTGAAGATTTAGAAATTCTCAATGACTTCAATTCGTACTTTAACAGACCTTATCTAGTCTGACCAAGAGAAAACAATTTCGTTAAGTGGGACGATACGTAGTTTATACGTCGTTTTCGTGTGTCTAAGAATGCAGCTTCTACTATTTTAGAAGAAATCGCTAATGAAATATCACACCCTACAAATAGGTAAGGCGGACTTTATTTACAGGACTTTTTTTAAAGTACCCATTGAATATATAGTATTGAGAACTATATTATATTACCTAATGTTTATTTGTACTGTAATGTTATTTGGTACTTTTTTTATTGCAGGAATCATGCATCGTCAGCGTGTAACCAGTTATTAAACCTTGCGTTATTATGCTACTGGATGCATGCAAATTACTGTTGGCGATTTCAGTGGTGTTCATCAAACTACAGCAGGAAAGGCTATTAAAAAAGTTACCGAAGCGATAGCATCAATACGATGCCAATATATAATGCTGCAAGATTCTGAAGAAGACAAAAGGAAACATTAGAATGGATTCTACAATATGGCTAGGTTTCCTCTAGTCTAGTGTATGGAGCCCTTGATTGTACTCATATACGGATTCAATCACCAGGTAGACAAAATGCAGAGTATTTTAGGAATAGGAAAGGCTATTTTTCCTTAAATACTCAGGCAGTTTGCAATTCAGACTTGAAATTTTCGGAATATTGTGGCTAGATGGCCGGGGGCAAGTCAAGACAGTACTATTTTTCAAAATAGCAGACTCTGTGCTATTTTTGAAACAGGTCAGACGGGTCAACTAGTTCTTCTCGGTGATGCTGGATATTCGAACAAAAAATATCTATTGACACCTCTACAAAATCCTGTCACAGAAGATGAGAAGCTATACAATGTGTCTCATATACGAACTCGGAATTGTATAGAGAGGGTATTTGGCATATGGAAGAGACGGTTTCCAGTTTTGTTATTGGGAAATAAGACCAAAGTTGAACTGGTACAAGATATTATTGTTGCAACAGCCATTTTACCTAACTTGTGTATCAAGAATAATGATGTCATGCTTAACTTAAATGTTAATATAGAAAATATCATTGATGTGATTAGCAATGATAACAACCAAGATACCATCCACAGCAGAAATTACAGCAACAATAGTTATAGCAAATGTTAATTGACAATTTAGTAGTTTACAATAGCTGAATTACTTGTTTAAAAAGGGAAAATCAAGATATAAAGTAAATTTACTAGGTACTATATTTGAACTGTTGTCCTTTATATGTTTAATAAAACCAATTTTAATATGAAATGAAAACAAACTCATCTTTTTTTATTAAATTTAATTACACAGTTACAAAAATTTACAATCACATATATGTAGGATTTAATTATTTAATTATTACTAACATTTCTAATTATTGTAAAACATTTCTGAACGAGTGAAAGATTCTGAACGCATGCTGTGTGAAAGGGACGGATGTAGCTCTAGCTCGCTCTCTCGCACGACGCCGCCATTAGGAGTAAGACGTGTTCAAAGTGCTCTCTAAGAATTAAATAAAAAGTATAGTGAAACCCTAGAAAAGAGTATTTCATTTAGACCCACACCTACATATATATTTAATTACAATGCACTTTATCAATTAATTAAAACTATCGAGTACTTTTTTTTATGTCAATTTCTAATTGTAGAAGTGTACATCTCAGTTCATGCTCCTTTGTTTCTTGTTGTTGTTTTTTATTAAAATTATCCATTTGTGTATCCAGTAATTTAATTTTTTTATTGGCCAAGGCACTATAATTGTATATTGTTTTATTGAAAACTTCTGGATTTTTTTTGGTGAGGGGTGTAGATATTTTTCTCTTTAATAGAAAATTATTGCTCTTTGGGGTTTCTGATTCATTAATTTTTTAATCAATCTAAGGCAAAGAAAATACAAATCAGTTTAATAAAAACAAATTTTAAAGTCCTCCCAGCTTCAGGCTTTCGGATTAAGAAAATGAAACACTTGTGTGATTTGTGGTAGCAATAGGCAGGACGGTGGGACCTCGTGCTGGCACACATTATGTCTTAACACTTTCTCACTAACCCATAGACACAGCCCACTGTGGTATATTCTCCAAACCACTGTTCTTGCTAGGACTGGGAATAGGCAATTTTTTTATAAAATTAATACACACCAGTATATTTTGATTATTTTTTGCTGCAAGTGCTCTGTCTTGGCTGGTCTCGGCATATTTTTCCTGTTTCTTTGTTATTACTATCTGTGAAAAGACAAAATTTTTTACCATTTTTGTAAATTTCACATCATATCTTTGCTTAGAATAGAAAACAGTTCTGAAGTTTTGCTGTTCTCTCATTATTGGTGACTTTTGGTAAAGTATAGGTTTAATTAGTGGTCATTTGATTATGAGACAAATTGAGATAGATATAATTAGAAGCTACTCATACATACCTCATCACAGTCATTGCGAGATGGTAATCCCATCACACAGGTCGCAGATAACTCCTACCACTTCCTCTTCTTGAGTGAAATTAATTTCAGCGGATGGTCCACCCCCTGTTCCGTACAAACTTCTCCGAAAAGTACTATATTTGGTCTTGGCCCTCTTTTATATATTTTCATACTTTGTGCGAAGTCTTGTCACTTCTGAACACAAATGATGACAAACTGTTGAATTCTTTGGCCAGCTTTGACCAAGTTTGCTCCTTCATCTGATTATTTGTTACATCACTTTTCTTATTTTCCAATATGTGGCCATATTGTCTCACAAAGCTTGTGAGCAATTCTGTTTCCGATTTCGAAAGATTGGGAACGCGCGTTTTACTTTCAACGGACATAACGAAATATTGAATTTTATGTGGAAAAACGATACAACTGTCAAATACAGATGTGTAGTTTTAGCTTAGGATTGTTAAAAGATTGAAAATAATGAACGGATCACAAAATGTTGCCACACGACATAACATCGTCACAGTTCAGCTGAACAGGGTTGTTTATGTATTGATCGAAAGTAGTTTAATCTATGGATCTAATTTGAACGAAGTTTTGTTGATCCTTAGTTTAAACCATGAATGATATTATGGGCCTAAACGACTCCCCTGTACTCTTACACCCGACGTCCGATCCCCTCCGAGGACAGAACCCGGATGAGGTAGGGGGGTTACCGCGGTCAACACTGCAACCAAACAGCGCAGCTTATCCCAAGGACGCCCGGCCGACGGAGTCTTCGAGGCGAATCGAAGGCTCTGAAACGTCGGCCGTCACGGTACGGCAGCCCGTCAGGCCGCCCAGACGGTGCCGCTGGTGTCCCGGAATACCCTGCTGGACCAGAACCAGCCTGCCGGGACGCGATACACCGCCAACCGGTCGCTCTATTACTCCTCGGCAGCGCGCTAGAGTGCTGGTAGCGCGCCGCGCGGCCTCTACTCCCTCAGGTCGCGCCTTGACCTTCACCGGGGGGTTGTTAATTTTGCCTAGTTTTACTTTTTTTTCTGCTTTTATGTGTCATTTAACCGAATTTATCCCAGATAGGCTTCATTATGTGTAGGAAAAAGTAAGCTAGAAAAGATGCAGCAAATAATAGGAGACATATGATTCAAACAGGCTAGTATAATATTATAGGTACTACTATTAACATTATAGGTACCTATTATCCAAAAATATGTGTAAAATAGTAGGTAACTTATATGCTAAATGCGTGTCAATGGTTTGTTGTATTGTTGTCAATGTGCTACTGGAAACACCACACGACATAGTGTTTATGGAAATAAAATTTCCCAAGAAAGATTTCATCAGCTGATGATGAAAGCTCTCTCAAACTGAAAGATATCTGATGTTAACTTTTAAGAATTAACATTTTTTTTTTTCATTTCAGGAGTTGGATCCCCTATACCTCCCTTCAGCAGATCTTATGCCTAATACCCACCAGTGCTGTTGAGTTATTTAACCCTTATGATAGTTATTTTATTATTCTTGCAGTGCAAGATGAAACTGCAATGCCTTCTGTAGAGACCGAGAATTTCCCAGAACCACCCCCAGCACAATATAAAGGTTAGCATAACCTTTTTTGCAGTAGGTCATCATAGTATACAGGTATATTACACAAACGAAGTACAAGTAATCCCAGCCTTCTTTTATATCCATCATCATGTTAACAATGATTGTGCCAGCATCAAGGTATCAAAGAAAAAACACAAGCTTTTAATTTTTTTCAGCATTATTACAAGTCGTCGTGGCCTTAAGGATAAGACGTCCGGTGCATTCGTTGTTGCGATGCACCGGTGTTCGAATCCCGCGGGCGGGTACCAATTTTTCGAATGAAATACGTACTTAACAAATGTTCACGATTGACTTCCAGGGTGAAGGAATAACATCGTGTAATAAAAATCAAACCCGCAAAATTATAATTTGCGTAACCACTGGTGGTAGGACCTATTGTGAGTCCGCACGGATAGGTACCACCGCCCTGCCTATTTCTGCCGTGAAGCAGTAATGCGTTTCGGTTTGAAGGGTGGGGTAGCCGTTGTAACTATACTGAGACCTTAGAACTTATATCTCAAGGTGGGTGGCGCATTTACGTTGTAGATGTCTATGGGCTCCAGTAACCACTTAACACCAGGTGGGCTGTGAGCTCGTCCACCCATCTAAGCAATAAAAAANCCGCCCTGCCTATTTCTGCCGTGAAGCAGTAATGCGTTTCGGTTTGAAGGGTGGGGTAGCCGTTGTAACTATACTGAGACCTTAGAACTTATATCTCAAGGTGGGTGGCGCATTTACGTTGTAGATGTCTATGGGCTCCAGTAACCACTTAACACCAGGTGGGCTGTGAGCTCGTCCACCCATCTAAGCAATAAAAAAAACATATTTATTAGTAAAATTGTAAACAATAATGTGCTGTTTACTGCTGCCAGGCTAAGTTATTAATCATAATTTATTTTTGCATATATCTTACTGCCTCCAACTCTGGTGATTGTAGACGATCAGATAAGTGAAACAACAATACAACATAATGATTAAGATTTTGTGACAAAGGTAATTATTGATATCTACACTGTTTAAATAAAATATAGTCTACTTTAAAATATTTGTTAAAAATCATTATGAACATCAATATTATTTAAACTATTTATTAATTTTAATATTTTTGTATTAGAATTGGGGAGATTACACACCACAGGCACTCAAAATTGATGGTGCAGCGGAAAAAACTGTGACTGACAATATAGCGAACATGATTGAGAAGCAGAAACCAAATCGCGAAACCTGGATTTCTAGGAGGAGGCCAATCCATACAAATACGTCTTCTTCTTTGGAACTGTTGCATAAAAAGAAGATATACTCAAAAATAATAAAATATTTTTTTAGCTTTTTTTAGTTCATTTGATCGAAATCGTATGTGGGGTTAACTTTATGTATTTAATTAGTTATTTATTTGATTTTATTATATTATTTTATGACTGAACGCAGTGTTGCCAATTTTAAGAATCTCCCCATAATCAGTCTTTACTAATAGTGTAAGGGTAGACGCTGAGTTTTAAAAATAATTTCAACTATATCATTTTTCGGCGTTATGAATATTTTTATTAATAATTAACATATATTACTATAAAAATATACACAAAATATATTACTATACTAATTAAAAATCTTTCTTTAGTTGACAAAGAACTTATAGTCAGGGAAAGTTAAATTAACTGTTGGTAGCACTATACGGTACGGAAAATGATGAATTGTCAAAAGTGTCATGTCTTGTCAAGTCAAACAGAGCAGTTGTTTTTACTGATAGATATTGAGTTTATTGTGCTAATAAATAACTTATCCTTGCGTTAAGTTCGTGTCCAGTAGTCTTCGGATTCCTGCACGCTCAAGAATCTTTTTAAAGACTATTGTACCTATTGTTTCTGAGCTGGAGGTGCGGATTGTGTAGAACGTTTTTACAACGGTCCGTGTCTCTGTGCCCTTTCTCTGGTACATTATATTCAACCTACACACCACCTACATTTAGCATGACCTACTATTATTTGTAATATTATTTACTTGGGATCATTCATGAGTTGTAACTATTTTCTGTTGTTATATGAGAATTCAAATCATAATCGTTGTAAGGAGCGGTTGTTTTTTGGTAGAAGGTTTGTTGCGAGAATAACCTCAAAATTGAACAAAAAGTCAAAAA